GACAACCATCCGGGCTTCGGCTTTGACCTCAGCTGGTCCCTGCTGTCAGGGACGGTGGGGTTGGAGGCCGCAGTACGCCCACGGGTTCAGGAACCACCAGCTAAGAGCACAGACAGACAGGACTGTGTTCAAATCCCAGCTCTGTGGCCTGAAGGGACACGCACTTCGGTTTGGAACCTTTCTCACCGGCTACGCTGCGGATGCACTCAGCTGGGGCGTGCTGTGCTCCCAGCAGCGCCTGGCACGCAGCAGGTGCTCCCCCAGGACCTACCGCATGCTGACAGAGCAAGCTCAGACAGGAAAGTGACCTGCGCAGGCCACACAACGCAGGGGACACAGGCAGGTCTGAGGCCCAAGCCTTGACTCCAGGCCCCCTCCCCGGCCTCTCCTTTCCCACCCACAGGCCTATGCCCCGCCCCCAGCTCCACCACGGGCCCTCCCACCCCACAGTCCTCGCCCAACGGAGGCTATGTGGGCAATGAGTCCTCCAGGCTCTGAGGAATGTTCCTTTCTCTTCACTTGCTGTCTAGATCACTCCGTTTTTCAATCCAGTTTCCCAGCAGCCTCCAAAATGAGCCCTGATTAAACTCCCATAAAACCACAGGCAGAAATGCTCCCATCCGTGCTGTGTACCTCCCTCCCCAGGGAGGCCTGGTGTCCCGAAGGCCATCTGTCACCTCCAGAGCACATGTCACCCATCACCCACCACTGTCACCAGCTCTGAAGGGTCTCTCGAGCCCTCTGTCCTGTGGCCTAATGCTCTCCATCAGCCACGGCCCACCGCCACCCCCCAGGGCTGAGAACACCAGCTTGTGTCCTCCAACACAGCACAGCTTTCTCTCGTATCGCTTTGGCCAGTTCAGGAGGAAGCTAGAGCCTTGCCCTGCAGTGGCAGAGCCAGGCCCTGGTCTCGGGGCTTCCATCTCAAAATCTTGGCCTTATGCAGCAAAGCTATGCAGCAAAGCAGGTGGCAGGGAGAGAAGAGCCCTGCAGATGCGTGCTCGGCAATCATGACTTGTTGACCCAGCCTCACCTGCCCTCCCCCATGCCTGTGCCAGTCAATGTTCCATTTCTGGGAGGTTCCTGCCCTTGGTTTGAACTGGATCCAGGTTCAGTGCCATTTGTGCCTCTGGCTAAGGGGTGGGGGTGCAGCCCCGCCCACAAACAGTCACTCAATTAGAGAACCCCATGGCCCAAATGCTCTGGGGTGGGTCACTCTGCAAGCCTAGGGACCTCACACTGCTTTGAGCTGCTGTGTGGAAGGAATTTACTGCTAGGGTCACAGGCTGAGGCTAGTGCCCCCCGGCCAGCTGGAGGAGGAATGGTCTCATTCCAAGAGTCATTCACTCCTGGGTTCCCCAGGTAGCAACCCACTTCTCGGAAGGTAAGGTGACAGACAACTTGGTGTCCCTCGGAACTCGTTCTCCCCCTTCTTCCACAGTGGCAAAGCTCCCAATTTCAGCTGAGCACATGGGGGCCCAGAATAAAACCCACATTTCCCAACTCCCCTGCAGCTCCGTGTGGGACTCAGTCCTGGCCAGTGATGTGTGGACTGAGCACTGTGTCGTGGCTGTCAGAGCCTTTCCTTAAAAAGATAACTACCGCTATCTCCCCTGGATTCCTTTTCCTCTGTCCCTCCCAACCCGCAGGTCTAGACCCTGGGCATGATGGCTGGAGTTTCAGCAGCACCACGTGGACCAGCAGGCTCGCATCACAGAACAATCAGCTGGAAGAAGTCTGGGTCCTTCCTCTGGGCTGCTCCATGAGAGAGAAATGAAGCTCTATCTCACTTAAGCCACCGTTATTTCAGGTCTCTGTTGCTACGGCAACTTCAGGGCTGAGCAAATGGGCAGGTTTGAGACTGATGGGTCTGAGGCACCAAAAGAATCCCACCTCCCCTCTGGGCTCTGAACTAGAAGAGGATGGACCCTGGGAGCAAGGAATCAAGTTGGCGCCGAGATACTCAGACTGGGAGCTGGGGGCTCCGGGCAGCGGGCCTCCCCTGTCTCCACAGCTGACGCTCTGCGTGGACCCAGAGCGTGGACCCCCGCTCCAAGTGCTCCGCCGCCTACCGGGGAGGCCGCCACCCCCGCTGCAGAGCAGGGAGCTCTGGGCACCTCCCCACGGCAGCCTCCCCCGGCCTTACTGTGCAGCTGCCCTGGCTCTCTGAGGCAGGCACAGCCACCCTGGCATGAAGGACGGTGACACCCCCAGGAGGTCTCCAGCAAGCCCCTTCTTCCGGTGCTAAAGCAGTGTCACTTGGGCTGCTCTAACTGTCTGCGGAACTTACAAGGTAATTATGGCCATTTGCAGCACGCTTAACTGGGCTGCCTCCAGGAATAGCAGGAGGGGGGCGGGGGGGTGCTGGGGATATGCCTCCCGGAGAAGGTTCTCTGCACCTGCGGGGAGGAGCCCTGGCTCTGGGAGGCTGGCGGGCGAGAGCCAGCACTGCTTCCATAAAAACGGCCGTGGGGGTGGGGAGGGGGTCAGGAAAAGGCCCCAGGAAATCCCAGCTTCTGCCCACCCTCCTGGAAGAGTGCCAGCCTGGCTCCATGCACAATAAAGGAAATCCAGGGTACAGCGGTCACGGCCCACCCACAAAACAATTCCTGCTGGCCTAGGACCAAGCCTGCCTTAGGGTTCGGCCAACACGTTCCTGCCCGGCATGGAGGGGCTTCCCCACCGCATACCACCCGCCCCTGCCCTGCAGGCAGCTCCTGGGCTGAGGGCCCCTGGGGTTGAGGTTTCTTGGACCCAGCAGAGTGGAGGCTGATTCTCTCCCCACAGGGGTACGGTCACCAGCCCGACACACATGTGGCTCTGTGTGGGTCACCTTTACACCAGGATATAGGTAACGGCCACTGGAACCTGTCTCTAGGCCATGTCTGCACTGATCTAAAATGTACGCTCATGTCCTCGCTCAGCAGCTCACACGCCTTTGATGGGTGCCCACGAACGACGTCCCCAACTGCACGAGGCATCCCACGTCCCTGACACTGACCCAACGTCTGAGGCACGCACAAGCACAACCCATCACTGGTCCCCTGCCCCTGACTGTGCACAGTCCCACTCCGGGCCCAGACTCACCCTTGACGCCAGCCCTGATTCTCTACCCATGAAAACTGAGAGAGACTCCGAGATCAGCCCCTTCCAACATAAGGGGAGCTGTGCCAGCCGCTGACATTCCCAGGTGACCCCATGGGCCAGGACCCATGCTAAGTGCTCACCAGACGTCATCCCAGTTATCTCAACCGCAGACCCTGAGGACAAACCACTTATTATCAACATCTTAACAGGAAACAGGCCTAAGCTAGGTAAAAGGACTCGGCCAAGGGCACAACAGCAGCAACATCCCAGATTCAGATAGGACCTCAGTCTGTCTCCCCCCAAAACCTGTGCTCTTTGCTCTGAAAAAAATCTTCTCAGCGGTGACTTCCCTGACCCCATTGGTACACATCTCGTGGACTTGAGGACATGAGATGTGGCCGCTGACCCACGACTCCTCCCACTCACTAAGCAGCCCTTCTCATCAGGATCGGATTCATCTCCTGTCCCTTCACACACAGCTGGTGTCCAACGCACACAACTCCTGGGATTTCCTTTCCAGAACCGAAGTTTAGCCGGAACATCCCTACAGATCTTTCTTCTCGTCTGAGAGTTCTAGTCGGACCCAGGGAAGGAAGGCAAAGCAAAGGGAAGCTGACATCATCATTGACCATTCCACACCCAAGAGGAAAAGGGTGTCGGCATGCTGAAAAGGCCTGCTGCTTGGGGGCCAGGCTTTACGTCACCTGCTGAACACCAGGCACCCTCAGGAATAGGCCCTGAGACCCCCTCCAGGACGGCCCGTCCAACACCCAGCTCTTCCACAGGGCATGCTCCCTAGAGAAGCAAGGACTCGCCAACTCTCATGGCCAAGGTCCATGAGGACAGGTGCTTGCTAGATCCACAGCCATCTGGCCACGGACACGTAAGTTAAGCTTAGGGGCTGCGAGCTGACAGCCTGAGTCGGGGGAACCTGGCGGGATGCTGATTCTGCCACACGCAGGCTGTGTGATGCGGGCCCGTCTGCTAAGCTCTCAGTCTCCACTACCGTCTGCAAAATGGGGAGGGTGACCGCCCCCACTTTCAGAGCACAAGGAGAAGGCTGAGCCCTGGTCCAGCCAGCCAAACTCTTCCCACCGGTCCCACTGTCACACGAAACAAGGGCTGGCCAAGTCACCACCCAGGTCAGGGCCAGGCGAGCCACCGTCATGGTCTAGATGGCAGGAGTGGGGGCTGCCTTTCCTCAAAATTAAACGAGAACTCTCAGCAGGGAACGCAGGGCCAGGCAAAGAGAGCTACGTTACTGTTAACAGGACTCTTTCCAAAAAAAGCCCTTCTCACAAAAACAAACACCTTGGGAAGGCCGTCCAACTTCTCCGGAGCGGCCGGGCCCAGGAAGGTGGGGAGAAAGAGTCCTCAGGGACGAGAGGATGTTGCTGGCAGGAAAAGCTCCCGCAGCTAAGCGGGAGGCTTCTGAGTCGAGAACAGAGCGTACCCCGTGAGGTCCAGCCGCCACATGACACATCTCCACGGCTTTGATTAAAGGCCCTTCAATCTCTCTGTTTGTCTCCATTGCCCGGTTACACAACTCCCCTTCCTGGCCTGCTGCTCCGCTATTCTGCACACAGCCCTGCTCTCTAACCACTATGTTATCGGGACACTTCATCACCACTCTGTGGGTTCAAGACAACAAAACAAAACCATCTTGAAGTGGCTGCAGCCGCTCTTTCCCGAAGAGCACCCTGGGGCTTTTATTTCCTAATTCTGCTGGTCAGAGGAGGAGCGAGGCCCTCCCAAGAACGTGTGCCCCTGGGGAATTCAACTCCTTCCTGCCCCAAAGGGCTTAAAAATGATCAGACACCCCCCTCCTCCCACCCCCATGCAACGACCACCCTGTCACTGCGGGGGGGGAGGGGGGCCACATGCGATGTGGGCCAAGCCACGTGTGTCCCTACCTTTCATGTAGGCCTCGATCTTCCGGATGAGCTCATAGGACTTGGAGCGGTCAAGGAGGGTCCTGATGGCGGGAAGGGGGTCCAGGACAATGGTCTCAGGGTGCGCATCGATGTACTCCTGAAAGGAAAACACACCTCTTCTGGTTGGAGGCTGAAGGCCGAGTTAGAAACGAGTCTTCCACAACATTCCATCCGACATGCCCTCACGGCATCCATCCCCCTTCTCCTCCCTCCCTCCGTCCCCCAGCCCTGACTTCACAAGTTTGAGGAGGATGCCTTCATGCTCTTGGCCCCAATGGGATCACATGATGCTGGTTAGACCAATCAGCACCTTCCACCCTGGCCATAGGCTCCAGAACAGGGCATGTGACCCGAGTCGGCCCAATCAGACGCAGGCTCAGTGCTCTCGCTAGGAATGCTGGGATAAGACCATTCTCTCCCACACCGAGGGGACCAGGCAGCTGGGAGCAGTCACCCTGAAATCTGAGGGAGAGGCCTGGCAAAGCCAGAACTGAGAACGAGAGGCCAGCCTGAGAGAACAGAGCCAAGAAAAGGAGCGCAAGCAGGCTCCGGTCAACTCGTTTGGCTCCCGGATAAAGCCTCACCTGAAACTGGCTCTGCTGCCCCTGTGGATGACACTCAAGGAGAGGGGCCCAGAGCCCTGCACGGATAAGGATTCTGGGGCAGGGCCAGCGAGAGCGGAATGAATGCTGGGATTCAGGCGAGGATCAGTGTGGAAGGCAGGATGACAAACCCACCCCAGGGCGGCCCCCGACCCTCAGGTACCCCCTACAACGTGCTTCTTCTCTACCCACTAGCCTCAGGGTAGACTGCAAACACTCAAGCAAGACTGTGGCCAAACCAGCCTTTCAGGAATTTAGGGTCTCCCTGGGGAAATAACAGTTAGGCCCCTGGGAGACGAGAAACTACCGTCTCTGACAAAATTCAACAAGAGACTGGGCAAAAGGTGTCTGGGAAAGGAACACAAGGATCCCAGCCCTGCCTCTCAACACCTCTGTGACCGCAGGAGCCCAAGCCACATCCGTGGGCCATGACAGCTGGGCAGGCAGATGCAGTAAATGGGACCACCCGCCTGGCCCCAGAACACGGATTCCAAGAACAAAAATATGGAACGCTGGAGGAACAAGAGAGGGGCTAAGAGGAAAGGCTGGGTGGAAGGGAGGCCATTCACCAGCTGTTGTTATTGTGAGCTGAATTGTGTCCTCAACAGATCTGTTCGAGTCCTAAGCCCTGGTGCTTGTGAGTGTGACCTTATTTGGAAATAGTGTCTCTACAGATGGAAGCAAACTAAAATGAGGCCACAGAGGATTACGATGGACCCTAATCCATTGACTGGTGTCTTTAAGATGGGGGAAGTCTGGAAAGAGACACACAGGGAGAAGGCCATCTGAAGGCAGAGACAGTGACTGATGTCGTGCCTGCCAAGGACCACTGGCCACCGCGGGAAGGCAGGACAGCAGCATGGGACAGATTCTCTCTCAGCGCCTCCAGAAGGAACCAACCCTGCAGACACCTTGACTTCAGACTTTGAGCCTCCTTAACTGTGAGAGGAAAAAGTCCCTGTTGTTTTAAGCCACCCAGTTCGTGGTACTTTGTCAAGGCCGCCCCAGGGAATGAACACACCAGCTAAATTCATTCCCCTGCCCACCCAGTCTATAAGATCAGTCTGCGAGGTCAACAAAGGCCAAGGAGAAAGCCACAATGCTTCTTTTCAAGTCAGCCTTATCAACAAAAAAGAAAGCGCCATTTGGAATTACTCTTTTTTTCAGTGAACCTATTTTGGTTCCTAGTAATCATTTTTAAGAGCTCTCAACACAAAGCCAGAGATTTCTATCTCCTTCTCCTCTGAAATCTGCTCCCCACCTTGGGTTTCATACCAGAGTATCTGCTTATGGGCTTATTTGTATCTTTTTCTTTGAAAGTTTAAAAAAACTTCTCTGTTCCTAAAGGGTGGCCGGTACGTGCTGGTGGGGAGCCCTTCTGCCCATCTTCCCACCCATGAACTCTGTGGGGCCAGCACGCTCTCGGCGCCTCTCCCCACATACCCATGCTATAGATACAAACAGAGAAGACAAGCCACCTTCCCCCTCATCCCGAGAGAGAGAGGCAGCCATCAGCGAGTCACCCCAGTTCCTGGCCCACTTCCCTGCTTATACAGGACAAGACTGTCAGCTGATGTGGGCGAGTCCACATCTGCCACCCACCAGGGCCACGAAGACAAGCTGAGAAGTGTCCTCAAGGAAGGAGTATCCAGAGCTGCCTTCAGGCCGGGGGCCATGCCTAGACTTCCTCTCTCTAGCCTCAGCCTTGCCTAAGTGCCTGCATCTCTCCATGGCAGGCTCCCCATCAGCAAGTACCCGCTGTCAACACCGTTCCGTTGGCCCAGGTCTACACTGCCATAAGACAATGTCATTCACGAGACACCAAGGTTCCCGCATACTTATAAAATTGCATTACTCTCTTCGTGTTAAAAGGTGATCCACACGACAAAGTGCGTATCACTCACGGTGCCCAGGGCATCGTGCAGAGTACTAAAGACACACCGATGAATGAAAGCCTTCTGGGCTTCCCCTTACTGGATCTATAATCGTGGCCAACGAGTCCATGTTCCAGGTTACAACCTAAACGCACTGAACTGTCCCCACAACCCCTCCTCCTCTCCTACCCCAACATGCCAGAAAGCAACCCAGTGCAGAGGAAGGAGTGAGGGCCCAGGACTCAAGAAACCCAGGCTCCCACTGTCAATCACCTTCCAGGGTCACCCTGGGCAGGCCACTTGGCTTCTCTAGGCCTCAGTTCCCTCATCTGCAACTTAAAAGCCTACACTGGAAAAAACGGAGGACTGGGGGCGCCTGGGTGGCTCAGTGGGTTAAAGCCTCTGCCTTCGGCTCAGGTCATGACCCAAGGGTCCTGGGATCAAGCCCCACATTTGGCTCTCTGCTCGGCGGGGAGCCTGCTTCCTCCTCTCTCTCTGCCTGCCTCTCTGTCTATTTGTGATCTCTCTCTGTCAAATAAATAAATAAAATCTTAAAAAAACAAAACAAACAAACAAAAACGGGGGACTGGTGCTTATGGAGGCAGACTTCAGGGCCACACACGGCGGCTGCTGTAGAAGCCACGTGCTTCTGGCTGCCTGCCTTCAGCAACGGGGTGGTATCAGAGGTGCTCGCCTCGGTGGGCTGGCCCAGGTCTCCCCCAACAACTGAGTCCCCTGAAGTCCACACATGCTCCTTCCTCCCCCTCGAAAATCCACCCCCACCCCCCAGCCCCAAGAAGAGTATCCGAGTAGTTGTTGGATCTGGTTGCACTTTTCTGCGTTAGGGCAGCGACCTTTAAAGAGAGAACTCCGAATCATCAAGACATGAATTTAAGCCAAACTCACGAGGGAAAGAAGTTAGAAGAAACGAAGGGGGAAAATATCTGACAAGCAGGCGCCAACAAGCTTTTGACCCGGGATGAATGCATCAGTATTAACAGAAGAATTATTCCTAAACATGATCTCTTTGGGGACGAGGACAGAGAGGGCAAAGAAAGAGTTTTTCCAATCGCCCCGCTATCCACAAGTGGATTTCCTTCCAAGCCTTTTAGCTTATCTATTGTACCACAGGCCTCATGCATTTTTCACAAGACTCTTAGAATTACCAAATAAATTGCTGGAAGGGTGAGCGCCCTGTACCATTTTATCACGACTCAGAAGAAGAAAGGCCCAAACGGTCTCCATGGCAAATGGTAAACACATGTTCATTTAGAGTACCCGCCACGGAACACCTACAAAGGGAGCCTGGACATGACCAAGGGCCAGCCCGGCTCGAGGCAGACTGAAAAGGGGGGAGAGCAGACACAGCCCCCATCAGGGGGCCAGGAGGAGGGCTAGAGAGCGCAGACTGTTTGTGGAGGGGACAAAGGGGCAGAGGCTGGCCAGGTGCCCCCGGCCCCCAGGCCCAAGGGATGATGGTGCCAGGAGGGACCCAGAGCCCTCTCTGCTGGGCTGGAGGAAGTCGACGCTTCCCCACTGCGAGAGTGAGCCCAACGAGAGGATCGGGGGCGCCACAGACACCATTTCCTTTGCGGTTCCATGTACAGACAGGAAACAAGCCGGCCGATGCAAGGGTTTGCTCTTATCTGACAGAAAATGCAGGCAGAAGTCCCAAGTTCAAATCCTGCCTCTTGCACTTACCCTATGTCTGTGAAAGAAACTGCAGTTTATCTCTGAGATTGTTTCCTGGTGTGCAAAATGGGCATTTTTATTCCCAAAGACCCACCTATCTATTAGAGAGTGAGCGAGCACACACACATGTACACACACGGGAGGGACAGAGGGTGAGGGAGAGCGCAAATCTCAAACACACACACACACCCCCGCCCCACCCTGAGTGTGAAACCTGACCTGGGGCTCGATCTCCTGACCCTGAGATCATGACCTGAGCCAAACTCCAGAGTTGGGACACTTAACCGACTGAGCCACCCAGGCGCCCCTGCATTTTAAATAAAACCCATCTCAGGGAGCTACTTTGGGCAACAAGACCCAGACTGAAAAAAAGAGGATTCTCACAGTTGGACAGCACATGGGCTCTCGGCACCGCACCTGGCCCAAGGTCTCTGAGCTCACCCAGCCATGCCCCATGCAGCAGACTGTGGGGCAGGCCAGCCCTGCACCTGGGGAGAACGACAGGGCTCTTCTGGATGGGGCCAACCCTCCCGCTGACGCCCAGAGCACCACACAATCCCCTGGCCTGTGGCAGCCCAGGCTGCAGGGCGCATCCCTCTGTGGACAGGTCCTGGCAGAGCCCACAATGCCAGTGGCACCCAGCCAGCCGGTCCCTTATGGGGGCGTGGAGAGAAGTGCCCGTGCCCAGTTCCCACCCCCTCAGTTCTCAGACATAGGGGACGTTCTGGCCCACCCCACCCCCAACCGCTGCAGGCCCCTTTTTAGAAAGCGGTGATTCATTTTTTAGAGATACATACTAAAATTATTTACAGATTAGATATGATGCCTGGAATCTGCTTCAAAGTAACCAGGCACGGCGGATGGTGAGAAACGTAGGTGAGGCAGGAGAAAACGAGAGTGGTCGCATGTGGCTACTTCGTGAAGCTGGG